AAGCTCGAGAAGGTTTCCTGGAGCAGGAAATCGTCTGCAAAGACTGTTAGGATGTCCCTAGCTTGCTTGCTATCTGGGCCCCATTTCTGCTCCATTCTGCTCATGACTAGAAGTGTCAGCGCAGACCACAATGCCGGGGCTAGCTTGCAACCTTGTTTGATTCCTGAAGAAGTGGGAACTTGAATCTCTAGTCCACTTGTGCCCATGTTGTAGGAGGTCTCACTGTGTAGTTGAACTACCAGTTCTTTCGTAACAGGGTCTGTTCCCAGGCGATCCAAGGCAGCTAGCAGCTCATGTCTATTAACAGAATCAAAAGCTTTGCTCAGATCAACCGAAATAGTAAGTGCCCCTGACAGCTGAGCCTGCCTGGCTCCGCGTTGGGACTTGTGCAGGTCCCTGCGATGCACTTGACGGAGCTGCTGCACGAAATCAAGGTGCTGACATGCTTTCGCGATGGCGTCCCGCACCCCCCTCTGCCTAATGTACGCAAATTGAGGCTGAAGTTGTGAGCTCTCCTGCAGTGCTGGTGCAATGCGAGTCTTAACTGCGCCTGCTAGCACTTTGCCTGGCACGCTGATGACTCCTATGGGCCTCAGGTTTTTCATGGCGGTGGCTGGCTTGCCCGGCTTGGGGATCCATGCAATTCGAGGGTCCTTTAGATAAGGGGAAATTTCAGAATGGGACACCTCAGAGTTGATTAGACCTGCTATGTGTTCGTGGGCTTCAGGACCTAGACTCTTCCAAGCTGATACTGGGGCTGAGGTGCTGGGGACAGCTTTCCCCACTGGCACTGTCTTGATTTGTGAGGATACCTGCAAGGCGGTGATCGCTGCTCTGGGCACTGCAGCTACTGAGTGCAAAGGAGAACTTTTGGAGAAGATTTGACTCGAGTATTCGCGCATAGTTTTTAGTGAGGCCTCCGTATCAAGCGGCTCACCTGCTTGATCCCTTAGGTTGACTCTCTGCACTGGGCGCCACGGAGCAAGTTTCCTGAGAGTATGAGCCAGTTTGTGGGATTGTTGCCGTTTATCTTCCTGGGCTTGTAGAAGCAACTGCTCTTGCTTCTCTAGCTTTCTTTGTTTTTGCTGTTTTTTGAAAGTCCGCGCCTCCTCCTTGATGTCCTCCACAAGCTTCTGGCATTCTGAATTATGCTCGGTTCCAGCCCTCTTGTGCGCCTGGATTTGCCGCACTTTCTTCCAGTATTCCTGATGAATAGGACCTGCTACTGGCTGAGACTTGCGTGGAGGAGGATAGTGCTCAGCTGATACACTAACCATCACTTCATCCAGTTCTTGCCAAGACGGTCTCACTTGCATTGTCCTCACCACTGCTTCCGTCAGACGATGTGAGTATGCCTGCCAGTTGTCATCTTTCCGCCGAAAGCTCGCATCCAGGGCTGTGGCATCAAACGGCCGTGGCTTGCTGGGTGTAGGACTGTAAGGAGGAATGAACAGAGTGGCTCGCACTGGAAAGTGTTTTGATCCATCTCTGTAGGCAGCCACAGGAAAGTTCTTATCCGAGTAGGCCTCCTTGGATCTCCTCCGAGCATCGTGCAGTCTGACCAGCAAAAAATCGATCTGAGAGGAATATGTGCCATCACTGTTAGCATACGTACTGCGATGGCCAGAAGCCCATGTGTTCAGCGCAGTTAGTCCACAGGATTTGCAGAGCGAGGGCAGTGTCTTCACATCCGCATTTGCAAACCGTACTCGATGAGGCACACTTGGTCCGATATGAGGACGTTCAGTCACCGCATGCGCATTGAAATCCCCAGCCACAATCAAGAAGTCACGTTGTGGGACTCTCTGTATTCGATTTTCGAGCTGTGTCATCACGTCCTTTCTCCTGCCTCTGTTTTCCGTCTTCGAGAGCTTTGAATCCCAGACGTGCTGGTACAGGTTCAGGAGATGTATTCTGGATCTCTGCCACGGGATCATGACGTGCTGCAAATGCCCTGGAACAATGGAAGTGCTGCGAATTTCTGAAAGAGGAGCCAGTGAGCTATGCACCAAGACAACCAGGCCAGCCTTGTGTCTGCTTGTTGAGCCACAGGTTAGGACTGACCACGGGCCTGAGCTGTAGACCTGGTCCTGCTGCCAATGCGATTCCTGCAGGAAAACGATTTTGATGTTCTTGTACTCTGTTGTTGCCAAAAGGGCCAGAATCTCGTTCCAAACTCGACTTGTAATTGAGCCTGCGTTCCAAGTAAGGACTTCCATGTCAAATTTGTGATGGATCTGTCTGTTCGGTTGAAAAGAACGCCTCTCCGCTTTCGCAGGAGACGCGAATTGTCCTTCATGAGCTCCTAGAGCCTGAGCTGTCAGAAGACGGCCTTTGTAAAGTGCTGCTCCCTTCGCCAGGGCAACTTTACAAGCTCTTTGGTAGCTTCGCTTGCCGGTTTTGTTCATGGTTAGCTGACTTCGCTGCGCATGCTGCTCAGCTTCATCGGGGGGCGCTACTTCCCGAAACCCTCGATTCTGATCCATGGCTGGACCCTGGGACTTGGGACCCAGGCACCCAAGAAAGCTCGCTACGGCTACGAGAAATAAAATCCTCATCTTGGGCCAGAATCTTACACACAACAACAACAACAACAACAACAACAACAACAACAACAACAACAACAACAACAACAACAACAACAACAACAACAACAACAACAAGAACAACAACAACAACAACAACAACAACAACAACAACAACAACAACAACAACAACAACAACAACAACAACAACAACAACAACAACAACAACAACAACAACAACAACAACAACAACAACAACAACAACAACAACAACAACAACAACAACAACAACAACAACAACAACAACAACAACAACAACAACAACAACAACAACAAAACAACAACAACAACAACAACAACAACAACAACAACAACAACAACAACAACAACAACAACAACAACAACAACAACAACAACATTTTGCATTGCACTCACTGCCAGAATCAGCATGTGGACCTCTGATCACTTTGGATCCTCGGCACGTCGGCTACTCTGTATCCGCCTTGGGAGCTCCAGCAGTCTTTGCTAGTTCGTGCTTCACGCCCCTCAGGGCTGCTGAAAGGATTGTTGTGCACAGCTATGTTCGAGTATGTGGAATGCATCCGCCCCTCGGGGCTGCGATAGCGCTGTGCTGGCTGGGCACCCTACGACCGCTTCTTACTGGCTCACCTGCACCCGCGATTGCTGCAGTGCCGGCTGGCCCCGATGTTGTGTTGCAGGCTATAGCTGTACAACAACAACAACAACAACAACAACAACAACAACAACAACAACAACAACAACAACAACAACAACAACAACAACAACAACAACAACAACAACAACAACAACAACAACAACAACAACAACAATAAGAAGGACGACCGAAGCATCAGAAACAGCAACGGCAAGAAACAACAACACGAAGAAAACAGAGCAGTAAGAAGCTGTCGCAAGCAACAGAATTACATGGTCTAGCTCAGCTTCCAGATACCCGATCAGCATGTTCGGTTATGAACATGGTTGTGCCAAACAAAGAGCCACTCAGCGATGACCTTTCTCCTTTTCTATGCTGTCACAGGATGCGGAAGGGCAGGCCTGGCTGCCTGACGGCTCTGTGAGTCTGCATAAGTTTCAGAGAAGCATCGCCAACACAGAATCATCCTGATGGTTCATAAAACCTAGGCACTGAACCCGGATAAACCCTGACTCCTCGCACTGCTGGAAACCACCGGCAGGGGTTAATGACCTGGTGCAATGCATCCTGGTTACAAAACAGCTCATGTCCGTTGCTGCAGTCCAGAGAGCCTCAAGCTTCAGTTGCGGCGCCATGTTGTGGCAGTGTTGTTCACTGTTGCTTGAGGATCATGTTTTGTGGGGGGCCTTTAGGTTAGAGCTGGGCGCTACAGCAAGCTGATCTTTTTTGAGCGTCGCAGGCATAGAGTGGCCTCCAAAGAATGCTCGAACACCCCGAGAACCCTCTTAAGACCCCTGCCGCTTCGGTGTTTTTTGGACATCCGTACCTGCTTTTAAACGAGCTTGCCCAATGTGCTTGCAAGTGCACTTGCAAACTCCGACAATTTGGCAAGCCGGTAATACGGCAGCTTGCCGGTAAACAAAACTGCAAAAGCAAGTTTTCGAGTTCCGAGGCCTGGTTTCGAATTGAAGATACAATCATAAGGCCGAAGAATGAATTGGAGCTCAGGGCCGATAAGTAGGATATCTGGGTTGTGGTTTGGTTCCGAACGTTCATGAAACTGAAATAACCTTTGGTTCCAAAGTAGTCATGCCGTGTTGTAACCTGACGTTGCCTTTTCGGATTGAAATCGGGTACACGCTGTGTAGAGAGAGGTATTAACTCTCATGAAGGCATCTCAAAAAATGCAAGGGCCAGGAGATCAACCATTATTGTTTTCTTTAGCTACTTCAAGTCGGGAGCATCCTAGTGTAAGCGCATGCCCCCAGGCGTGCGCTCGGTCTGCCCTTTGTGCCGCAGGGTTTTGGCGATAGTTATTCACGGACCCCTAAAACAAGCCTCAAAGGCCCTGAAGACTCAAAGGTTTCTTGGGCCCTCCGTAACCCTTCAGGCCAGGAGCTTTCCCGATCCTTTGACCTTGACCCCGAAACCTGTGCAATATCCATACGTCTTTCTTGCAGTAGTTCAGGGCCATACCTATTCGTGAGAGGTTCGCTGAACGGCTGAACTGTAGCGCAGCCACCCCGCTTAGGCATGCGATTGGACTTTTGGAATCACATGCCCGAGCTGTTGAGGCACAGGGAGTTCTTGAAGATCCCTCAGCTTCTGTTTATGAGGCCCTGACTTGCAGCCTTCAAGCTGATCGCAGCCCCGATCTCTACATCGATCCTGTGGCTCAAGCTCGCCTGAACTGAGCAATCAGATGGACGTTTCGGATGGCGTAGCATCTTGAGTGGACCCTCAATCACGAGCTTTAACCAGAGGCCCTCCCAAAATCGGCTTGGATACCATAATTTAGGATGTCTCGAAAATGTCGGGTCCTCAACATGGCTCTTTGGACCGGTCTGGTCCTCTCACTGAAGGGGAAGTTGGCCAGCGCACAAACAGAGTGCGATGCAGAGAGGGCGGGCCTGTCCATGCTACAAGCCCACCTGGCCAAGGAGCGCAACGTGGACAGGAGTCGATATCACTGGGCCTCAGGCCGCGGGAATTTTCCCAACTACTCGGTGTCTCCACATCCTGCACCTTTCAAGGTTGGAGGCTCGCTTGCCTGGAAATGGCACCATCCGCTAGGAAGGTTCGCAACGTTGACCTTCGGCACAGCAATCGATGCAGACAGCAACATTTACCTCTCAGCAGCAGATGGGATCCGAAAGTTTGACCCACATGGAGTTACGCTTTGGGAGTACTCTACACTTCCCGCGTGGGTTTACAATGCCCCAGCCTTGTACGATGGAATGGTGCACAGTAGCGACACTGACGGTTATGTCTTTGCTTCTTGCCTGTCCTAAGATCATTTTCCGTTTAACTGAGAGCCGAAGCCTGAAGCCCCTTGTCCAAGCAATCGCACAGCGAAGGCTTTGGATATGCAAACCGGCAAGCAGGTGTGGAGGACCCGCGTCGCCGAGAGCATCGGCCAGGACAACGGCTTCAGCATGGCCCATGCTGGAATCTGTGCTGCACCAGACCATAGACTCCTGCAGGAATGTGCAGTTTCCTTGGTTTCTCTTCTTGGCACTGTTACACTGTGAGGAGTTGTGGTGGCAGCTTGCGATTGGCGCAAGCCGTCTAACTTCGACAAAGCCAACCACAAAATCAAGGGCTTGAATGCAAGCACTGGCGAAGAGCTATGGACATTTGAGCCAGATACTCCTGTGTGGAATTTCTTGCCTCTCTTCGTGGAAGGTGCGCAGCGATTTGTGCTTGATTGTTTCTGAGCATCTGCATCCCCACATCCCAGCCCCTGAAGCCTGGCGTCTTCATGAAAGGTGGATCCTTCGTGTTCCAGGACGTGGTGGGCAAAGCCCTAAACCCTATAATGTTGACCCTTACTCCCGAGACCACAGGGACCATAAGCCCTTCAAGGACATGACGGGCAAGGCCTACCGTGTGAAATTGGACACTGGCACCTTGGTGTGGAAGGCTGGCTGCAGAAGCATGAGCATTCATTAGCATAAGCATGAGAAACGCAATGAAATTCGAGAGAAATTTGCTTCCATGTTTGCAGGGCGTGGTTCCGAGGGCTGAACGAGCTGCATTTTTGTATGATGTTCTCAACAACATCCGCAAGTACATCCAAGGGAGGAACCTCCACCAAACCCTGTCTCCGTAACGGCGGTTTTGGCATTCCTCCCTTTATGCCACAGCCTTTGCAGCTGTAAGGGTTCCATAGACATCGCCAAACCGCTGAAAGTCCCAAGGCACCGCTTTGCCTCACTTGTCAGCGTTCCCTTGGTGACGTGATGGTCGAACGCATTCTCCTTCTCACACACATGCACAATTCGCCTCACTTTGCTCCACAGATCTCGGCTCCTGTTTGGCCAGGCCGGTGGCCTGGAGGGGACTTGGACCGACGGAAGTGCAGCCTTGGGCCCAAACGGCTTGGTCTACACGGCACTTGGGCAAACAGATAGCTGTTGTGAATCCACTCGTTTACCCCCTGTTTCTGAGCCACCAAGTTAACTCAAAGGTAGTGTTTTGTCCAAATTGACTTCTTGATTCAATGTTTACATCAGCAGTGCCCTTGAGATCGAAACGTAAACGCCAAGCACTACCGAGTTTGCCTGAGACAAGCCAAACTGGCGGAGCAAGTTGACCTCACCCAGGCGACGTATCCGGGGCTAGAACGTTTGACCGCGATAGCTTGAGCCCAATTTCACCTTCATTCAATGTCTACACCACAGGGCCCTTGAGCTCGAGCGCACAACGCTAGCGCTACCAACTTTGCCCCGAGCGAATCCAACATGATAGCTGTTTTGTTTTGCTTGTTTGATTTGTTTTAGTTTTCTTTCCGGTCGGATTGGGTTTGAGGTGCGGGAATGAGGATACGACATGGTACTGTACAGAGCCCAGGTACACAACGTTCATCCCATGCCGATCACCGAGATCAGCGAGTACAGTCCTGGAAACCTGAGCGCTTTCAACGTAAGCGATGGCGAGCTGGTATGGAGTGCTGTGACGCCGCGGCCACCGAACAATGCCCCAGCCATCGGACATGTCAAGAACCTGCCGGGGCTCTCGGTTGTCATGCCTTTGTGCCAGCAGGTTCGTCCGGGTTCAACCTGTGACGTCGAGGTTTCTGGGCTGCAGTGGGACACGCTTGAAAGTTCGTCGTGACTGCAAATCAAATCGGGTCTTAACGTGCTTGCCAAAATGATTGAACAGGACAGGGGCACAACCTGCCGAGTTGCGGTGAGTTGCCTTTCATTCTTCCAACTTCCTAGAATGGAAAACGCGAGGTCTATGATGCAGAGACTGGCAGTTTGCGGTGGATATTCCATGGACCTACCCAGACTGGCTTATTGCAAGCCGCTTTGGCTAAGTATGCCACCGTCAAAACTTTAAGCCCTCCATCCTCTGCGTATCTACAGATGAGCGTTCCTAGTCTAGTTTGGTAAGGTGCGTCTTTCCATCTTGTCTAGAAGCAACTCTCCTCTCCCTTTCCTTCTTCTCCCTGTCTCTTCCTGCCTCGGCTTCCCGCTCCCTCTGCCTCTCTCCCACTCTGTCTTGGGCGCGCTCCGAGGCCGGAGATGCGGAGGGAATCGCGATGCGGACAAGCCACGGTATCCCAACATTTTGCCTGCCACTGGAAGGTCACAGAAATGTTCTCTACATTGGGTTTGAAAAATTCTTGTGGATTTGGTGTTTGGACGAATTGGAACCTTCAAGTACTTAACGGGCATTCAGGGCTTCCTGTCACTGGGCGCATAAAGGCTGTAAATGAGGCCAAATGGCTGGAGCGCGCCCGCAATCGACTCCGAGGGCACTGTGTTTGTGGGCAATGAGGAAGGCATTTTCTACGCACTGAGGGATTTGGATGGTGATGGGGTGGCATTTGGTGACGACGAGGTGGCCTTGCATCTGGGTCCAGTATTCAACCTCCTGTAAGCCTCGAACCCAAGGATGCAGACATTTCTGAGCGAGTGTCTTGCTGCATGCTGTTGCAACCCAGGTATGATACCCGAGCAGCTTTCGCCGGATCCTCCAGTCCAGCAATAGCTCCAGGGCTGCTGGCAGTAGCTTCCTGTGATTCACTCTTCGTCTTCGAGACTTGACTTGTGTTGGTTCGGCCAGGGTTGCGCATCGAGCGCAAGCCAAAGGTGCTCCACACTGGAGCACTTGCCACCTGCCAGAAAATCTGCAGGCACCTTGCCTGTCCACAAAAGGTGAAGCACCTTTCAAGCCAGAGCGCCGTTCTGAGTGCATGGCTTCTGGAAACACAACATGAAATCAATGACGTATTCGAAGCATGGAGAAGATAGATCCACTCATCGAAGAAATCTCACCTTTCTTCTTTAAAATGTATCGTGGAATGCGTGTTGTGGGACCGCTTCATGTCTCCGCTACAAAACCAAAATTCATTTTGTCACGGGAAGATATTGTATAAGATATGCAACGGCTACCGCCAGTGCTGCCGACCCCAGAGAAGGAGCGTGGGGGTGGGGGCGGCCAGGGCATGCGCTGCAGGGGGGTGGGTGGTGGGGTGAGTGGGGTGTTGGGGGGTAGTAGTGGAGGGTGTGGTGCACAGATGAAGTATCAAAGCACAGAGTGTAGGTCAAGCGAGGGAGGGGGGGCAGGCGGCATAGGCAGGGGGGATGGAGGGCAGGGGGATAGAGCGCAGCGGAAGAGAAGGGGGAGGGGCAGAGGACGGCGGAAAATATTGCAGAAAAGGCGGTTCCTAGGGTTGCAGCCCTCAAACTCTGGGATTAATATCTCACCATCTTCATTTTCATCAATACATCATTCATTTCACCATCATCATCTTCTTCATTCTCATCATTATGTCTTTTTTTATTCGTTTTATGGGAAGGGTTTCTGGGGCTTCATCATGAGTTCTTCAAGTTTAAGTGTATTCAT